GTGCAAGGTCATGCTGAAGATCGCGAGCAGCTGATCGACCTCGTCACTACGAAATCCATGGCCAGGCAAATGGGTCTGTCCTTTTGTTTGCCCCCCCGCCCCCCCAAAAGAAGGGGGGGGGGGTCCTTTTGGTTTCTCTTTAAAACCACCCAAAAAAGAGGCTACCCGCCAAAAACAGGCGAGCCACCCACGCAGGCATTTGGTGCTTCAAAAGGGCGTGTCGTTCCTTGAGGCGTTCCCTTAAATACCCGCAACAACAATGACGAGAAGCCCTTGCCGTTCAAGGGCGCGGCGGTCTCGATGTCCTGTCCCACGTACATCTTGGAGGCCGCCACCGTCATGAGCATGGCTGCCATGACGCCCTGGCGAGAATGGAGATTTGGAGAAGCTACGAAATCGAAGCCTAAAACCCAGAGGAGACTATAGGAAAATATGGCTGTGATTTCTTTTTGAGGTAGTTTTTGGTGGCTTCAAAGGGAAGCCCTAAAGAATACCAGCATTTGGGTGGGGCCATTAAAAGACAAACCCGCAAAATATGGAAAGGATCCAAAAGGCGGTGTCCGGACCTATTTCTAGTTGGGATTGTCCCTTACCACCCTTCACCTTCAGTTTTGCTTGTGGCTCAAATGAGGTCATTGCTCGAATCGAGACAAGCTGCCTGCGTAAGCAAGGAACCCACGGCAGTGTCTATCCGCTCAATGAGCAGGTTCTCCGAATCTGACTCTCCTGGGCGCGAAGCACTGGAAAAATCGCTGGGAACGGAAAGGGAAAAATCCACGGAGCTGTCTCCTGCCAGCCCCTTCTCGCAAAGGGCAGATTGCTGATACGCCAGCATCCAGGGCCTGGGTCGGAGCTCATAAGAAGTCAGCAAACCGGGGCTGAAGGCTCAAAAGACCCGGCCGGTCCTTTCCCAAGCTCAACCAAAGCTCCTTCTTTCGCTGGCTCAGTTTGATTTCAACCAGGTTCCAAAACAAGGCAACCACCTAGGGAATCCTCTAAATCAGCTGGAAAAGGCGATTGAATTGTCCAGATGGGTATGTCTCGTTTTGAGGGTAGCCTTTCTTTTTGAACATGTCAAGTGAAACCAAGAGGAAACCACACATGTTGGGGTGCGCCTATATATTTTAAGACACGCCCAAATGTCTCGTCTAAAAGACCCTGTTCAATGGGGTCTTGCCATGGCTGGAGCTTTGGAACAAGCGGCATGATCACTGCGCCGATGTTGGCTGTCACGAGCTTCACATAGCTCCCGTTGGTACTGCAATCGAACTCTGCGCAAGGGGCACATGAGGGGGAACGGGGCATACTCCCCTCAACATAGAACCCCAAGGCTCCTCTCTAGCGGAGCCTCCAGGGGGTTCCGGATGTCAATCCGGGGAGTATGCCAATGTGTTGCAAGCAAGAAGCATGGGGAACGACCAAAGGTCGTTCCAGACTTCACTGCCGCTGGGATGGTTCATGAAGATGGTGGCAAAAAAGAACCTCGGACATCTGGGTGTGTCATTCTTTGTTGAGGGACCCAAGAATGGCTTTGGCTTTTAAAGGGAGCCTTCCAAACAGCACACCCCCTTCCTGGACTCATCTCAAACGCCTTTTTTTCGAGCCAAGGGACACCTGCAGGATGCCCATGGCTAAGCCCACCTCGCCGCTGTCTTTTTCGCGCGCGCGCACGTGCGCGGTTTGCCTTTTCGCGAAGCGCGGCGAGGCCTTGCCTTCTCTGCTATGGCGTAGCTGCCTGTGAGGGCCAAGAATATGAGCCCCAGGGCAAAGAGGCTGCTAGAAACCTTAGGTTCTCGCCCACCCATTTTCCACTGGCCACTGGCACCTGGTCGCCATCTCCCTGGCAAGCATCGGTTCGGTTTCGAAGCTGGGGCGCCGACCCAAAGAGGCACATCCCAGCAAGCCAGCAGGGTCTGCCCGAAAACATTCAGCTCCTCGGCCCCCACAAAACTGGATCGAATCGGCAAGGCGTAGAGCCGGGTCAAATCGTCAGCTTCTCACTCGAGGGATCACTTCCCCCTTGTCCAACATGTGTTTCTCAGAAAACCATCCGACACATCAAAAGCCTGGGATAAAAAAGTGGCTTTCAGGAAAGAACCATGGTTGAAAAAAACATGGAAACAACCCATCGACCCAAACCGCCTGCCTTACTTTTCAGAACCATGGTTCACAAAACATAAAGATCCATGGAGATGTGTTTAAAAGTCAACCCCGCCGTTACTCACCAATCACCGCGCGAAGCCCAAAATGCAAAATGGCTTGCCCTGGAGAGTGGAAACATGGACTAAAATTCCTGCGGTCCATATCCTTGCGGCCTTGCGGTGACTAATTTTGCCCCATACCAAAAATGTGGACCCTCAACATGGCTAAATTTGCTTTAGGTCTCCCTAAAACAACCTGGGGGTACCCCCCCAAAAACCATGGCCCAGAGCCTTTCTTTAATTTCGACCCATACCCAATATGGCTTTTGCTAAAAAAGACGGTACCAAAATGGAACCCAGGTAAGTGGAAACATGGACCAGAACCTGCGTAATCCCCTGTTTAATTTTGAGCCATACCCAATATCTGCAAGCTGCGGAGATCAGCGCTAGCACGCAGTCGATGAGCAGCGGTACCGCCACTATCCAGGCCACCCGGGGGCCCACCTGCTCATGGCTCGCGGTTGGATGAGGAGGCGCCGTGAATGGGAGGGGACGCGGTCGAAAAAGAGATTTTGGCGGGGGGGGAGGGGGGCTGGTCTTTTTTCAGGGGACTCCAAAACTGGTGGCGTCGCTCTTGGTTTCCGTTCAAACCAACCCCAAAAAAGATCCCTTTCAAACACGCACACGGTTTTGCTGAAAGCTTCAACTGGTTTGCGACACATATTTCACGAGACACCCAGCTTGCCCGGCCTCTGCTCTCAGCAGCGCGCACAGGCCCTAGGGTTCATCCAGTGCTCACGCCCACAGCCAGCAATTTGCTCAAGAGATCGCGCCTTGCCCTTGACCAGCGCAAGCCGCACGGTCAGCTCCTGACTGAGTGTGGGCGTCACTATTTGGCCATGGGTCAAAAGCCCGTACCCCCAGTGAACATCCCAATCCCCACCAAAATAGGTTCTAAAATGGGTGGTGAATTCACCTACCCCAAAATGAGATCCCATTGATCTTGACCCACAGCCATTTAGGGATTTTCTATATACGCGTCTCACTCGGTCCTGGGCAAAGTAGAGGATGGGCACTAAGATTGCTTGCAGCAGCAGCAGCCTGCAACACTCAACCGCAGCGCCCTTGCCAGAATACGCTTCGGATTGCAGCACAATTGGCTCTCAGCTCTTTGTTAGGTCAGCGGAATTGCCACCCAATGAAACGCCTCTAAAAAGACACCTCCTTCTGAAGCACAACACACCTACATGGGTGTGTCCTTTTCGAGGGTAAGTCTTTTGTGGGGCTTTGGTGGGGCCCCCCAAAACAAAACGACACCTTTCCGGAACCCTGCTAGGCCGAGTTGCTTGTATCTCCACTCGGAGCCCGAGTCGGCCGCGGTGATGAGGCAAGAGCCGTCCGTGTCGGCGAAGCACACCATCAACCCGGGGCCCATGGTCATCAGCAACCGCGTCGCGAAGGAAGGCTTCGCCACCCTGCGCGCAAAGCGGAGCAATGCGGAGGGCGCTTGGCCAAAGAATGGAAATTCGCGCACGTCGAGCACCAGGGCATGCGCTCGATACTGGCTAGATTGGATATACGTATCCATACAGTTGCTGTTATATATATATATATGTATATATATAATGTAGAAATCTCAGTGTGTTTTCAGTTATATACGTGTCCATACTGCTGGCATGTGTAAGTAATACACATTGTGTTACTATGCACTCCTGCGCAAGGGCATCTTTCAGAGTTGAGTGTCAGGCCTCGACTCTAGGCTTTGCGATGGTGGCGACTCCTCCTGAACACGTCATGCCCAATCATTCGAGGCATCGAGCTCGCAAGAGGCGGCAAATTTTCTTGTGCTGAGGGGCTGCAAGCATCAGCGAATGCCGGCCATTGTCTTCACAACTCGCCTTAGCTCAAGAGCAATGCTTGTGCCAGAGACTTTCAAGAGCTCCGCAAAGCAATGTGGCCATGGGTCAAAATCAAAATAGTACCCCCAGTGAACATCCCAATCCCCGCCAAAATAGGTTTTTAAATGGGTGGTGAATTCACCTACACCAAAATGGGATCCCATTGGTTTTGACCCACAGCCATGAGTCTGGAAAATCCCGATGAACTCCCCATGACAGCAATGTGCAGTGAGTCTGGAAAAACAAATATTCCCCGTGGCGAGATGCACTGACACTGGCCATTCTGTCGTTGACCTGCCAAGCACTGGGCAAGATGATTCGAACCCCAAATGACCATGGGCAACTGTTCCCATTTGGTTTTGCGAATATCATCTGTTGAGTGGTTTTCCCAGAGGGTCATCGCAAATTTTACGGCCCGTGAAATCAACCCCCATGTGAGTCACAATCAAAATCTGGTATTAAAACGGTCTACCCCGCGCGATGTACAGAAGTAAGAAGGCGGATATCCGCAGCTATTTATGGCTGGGATTGTCCCTTACCAACCTTCATCAATCCCCGAGTTTTGAGCACGTGGCTCATGTCTCAAACCTCCGCGCCGTGCTGATTTGTTGCATCACCCAGCGCTCAGAGCAGCCCTTCCCTCCCGACGCCTGGACCGAAGGACTGCGGCAAGTCTCGCTGGAGCCGGTGGCTGCGGTTCTTTTCGACTCCAGAGACCCTCTGGTTGCTTGGCTTTGAAGAAAGACCAAGCGGGATCCCAGCATTTCCGGGTACCCCAAAACCAGAAAAGCCTGAAATGGAATCCCACCATTCTTTTTGTTGGGAGGGGGTTCCCAACAAAAAAAAGCAGGCCATCCTCAAGTGGACTTCCAACCTTCCAAACACCCATCCCACCCATCCCACCCATCCCACCCATCCCACCCATCCCACCCATCCCAGCCATCCCCCCCCTTCTGAGCGCCTGCATCACCGGCCGCGAGTCCGAGCCCAGCTCTCGGCTGAGCTTTTTGGACGCCGCCTCGGATCCCAAAACTCGGATCCGCGAGAGATGTGGGTCAAAAAATGGTAAATGAAACCCTGGTAAATGGAACCCTGGTATTAAATGGAACCCTATGGAACCCTATGGCACCATAAAACCCTATGGAACCCCATAAAACCCTATAAAACCCTGGTAAATCCTAAATGGCACCCTATGGAACCAAGCGCTAAACCCTGCGTTTCCGCGCGCTTGCCTCGATCACCTCGCGGTGCGCGAAGGTCACCGGTCTGAAGCGCGACCTCCCAAGGTTGAAACTTCCCACGGCAAGGCATGCCGGAGGCATGGCCTCTGCACCACCACGGGAGTCTTGTAAAAGGAGTTGTTGGGCACAGCGTGGACGTACCTGACCAAGCCAGTCACACCAAGATAGAAACCGCAGAAACCACCCGAAGCGCACGATCCTTTCTGTTCGTCATAGACCAAGAGCACGGAAGGAGCGACTTTGAACTCAACCTTGCAGTGCGACAAAGGTGCAGCTTCGATGTGGAATTGCCAATATCTAAGATACCTGCCATTTTCATCGCCAGCAAGCGATAGTCCATCTTCTCCTGCGCAAGTACCCAACAAAGCTCAGCAGAAAAATTGACGGGATCACACACATGTATACATGCACAGAAACACATGGACTAAATGAATTGCGTCCTCCTATGGCACGGGAATTCGGTAAATAGTACCCAGACTACCCCCCAATCATCAATGGTGTCGGCAAAACCGGAAGCCATGCAGGCGTCTTTGTTGAGGCAAGAAGCATGAATCAGGTTTTCCCATGTTGGGTCGCGCAAACCCACTTAGGGGTTGTCTCCGAATTGGGGACACTCCAAACCATAGTTTGTTTTGCTTTCCCCTTGATCCTTTTCGTGCACAAATGGAAACTCATGGAGAAAAAAAACACAAAAAACGCGGGGGTTGATCAAATGGTCCTTACATCTGGGATGACCATTAGGGAAACCACTCCAAATGAAAGTTGCTAGTCATTTTGGGGTCGGAGGGAATATTGATCAACCCCGTCCCATACACGCACACAAACAAACAAACAAACAAACAAACAAACAAACAAACAAACAGCAAACAAACTCGCACACAATACGGGCATGGTATCCCGTTTGGCTTGGTTTACAGGCACCAAGAAGGAACCCAAACAGTCTCAAGATCGGTGGTAGCCCTCCACAATTGGGGGTGGTGCTTGCCTTTGAACAGTTCCCTTCCACACCAACCAAAACAGTTTGGTTCGCAGTGGCTTGTGTTTCTCCCCTAAAGCGGCTTCTCTTTACACAGTTTGGGGGCTTTTAAGGGGCCCCTCATTTTTCTCCAGTGGCTGGTTTGGTCCAAGCCTCCCCCTCTCCACCAAACCGATGGGGGGCTGTGCTGCTGTGCCTCTGTCCCCAAGACGACGGGCCTTGGGGAAGGCGGGCCCCGTGAACTCCACGAAGTCCACTTCCAGGCGGCCCTCCTCCGCGTCAAAGCCGCGTGGGAGGTGGGCAAAAACACGAGCAGAGCACCGAGAGCTTCAGAGAAAAGCACGAGAAGAAGCTGAGGAAGAAGAAGAACGCGAAGCGAAGAGCGGAAGGAAGGACGCAACTGGTCAACCAACAAACACAGCATAGCAGTATGGATTTCAACATTAACCTTCTTGGGGGACTCGGATATCGAACAAACATAGAAATGCATGGGACGGTTTGGTGTATGAGATGAAAGGTCACATGAGCCAAGATCAAAATATGAAGACTCCTTTTCTATGGGCGTGGGGGAATTTCGGGTTCCGTCCCGTTGTTTTGGTGGAACACACTGACTCCCATGTCCCAAAATTCTCAATTCGCCACGGAGGTGTTGACCGAATCTCATGTCCCAGTTTCCAAAAGAGCAGAAACCGGTTCGCTTGCTCAAGGAAAGCGTCCGGGATAGTTTGAAAAGCACAAATGGCCATGGGTCAAACTCCCGTACCCAATCCCCACTAAAATAGACTAAAATGGGTGGTGCACCCACCCCAAAATGGTACCATTGGTTTTGACCCACCGCCAACATGGCTAGACGAAACCACAAGATAAAAGGACCTTTAGAAGCCCTGTTCCAGGGTCAACTGATGCGACATATGAAAGATTGGAGCTCCTCGATGCCGTCAAGGAGGAAGGAAGTGATGACGACTGGGTCCTGAGGTCCGTGCAAACCTAAAGCACATGGGGTATGACCCCACTCCACAATAGGAAGCGGTGCCGGTGCAACCATCCTTCGTGTTTTCTCGGTACCTTCCCTGGATTCGGGCTTTTGAATGGATCTCAGCATGGTCGAGTGCATCCTTCGCGAAGTTGCACAGGTACACCAGATTTGTACCTGAGAATCGGTGTCCAAGGTTGCTTCCGAAGACTGCAAGCACCCTCTCGGCCCTTTGAAGCCTTCGAAAGGGAAACCCCGGCCGAAAACCCGAAAACCCATCTGGCCATGGGTCAAAATCCAAATCGTACCTTTAGTGAACATCCGATTCAATCCAACCACTAGAAGGGTGGTGAATTCACATACCAAAATGGGATCAACCACAACGGTTTTGACAAACCCCACAGCTTTGATTTAGCCAACCGATCCAAAACCGAAGCCCGGCGCACCCAGTCGGCCGATGGCCTCGCCCTGCAGCTGCGCCGTCTCGTCGGCCATGCGAACATGAAGCTGCACCTGAAAAATCCATAGTTTGGGGGTTCTTGGCTTCGAAATATGTTCTAAGTGTTCACAAAACCCTGCTCCCACAGTCTTTGTTCTAGTCTTCGAACCGGAGGCAAAGTCTTCCTAGTGTCAGATGTATGGCTCTCCCATTCTCCAGCTTGCTGGGAACTCGTCAGCAAGAGACGGAGTTTGAGTCCGAACCCCTGATCCCCAGTTCCATTGTGGAATTACGGGGGATACGCAGATGCGGGTGTGTCTTTTCTCGGATTTGATTCCCTCTCAGGGTTTGGCTTAAAGAGAAACCCATAGGAAACCGCCCAAAACGAGGTTCCCCTTGGAGACGAAGCCCATTTGCCACGACGTCTCGTTGCAAGACATGCCGGCTCCCGCGGTGCTCGGCTGGGCACCAGCCTGCTCAGCGAGCACGCACGACGTTTCCGGAAACGACCGGACATGCGCGCGCGGCTCTTTTTTTCGGCCTGGTGCTGGAAGGTCATGCCAACCCAGCCCTCGCATTCACGATTGGACATGTAGGCCTGGCGGAGAGTTCAAGATTCAGTCGGAAAGATAGATTCAGCTCGAAGCTTCAATCTTGCTCGCCTTGGAATCCCACCGGTGCTTGCTGCTTCGATTCAAATCAGCCGAAGATCTCAGCCAACAAGCCTGCCACAGACCTGTTAAGCTCATACCCCAAAGCTTCCACCAGGATTCCCTTCATAATGCTAGGTTATGCTCCATAGGTATGGAGGACAGCGTTCCGTATATGAATATTGCCCATAAAGCCGACAAGGTGGTGCAGGTGTGATTTTTGATTTGGGGCCCCCTTTGTGGACATCATTTAGGTGGGACTTCATGCACCAACCATCTGGGAGGCGATTCCTCGTACATGTTCATGCCTGGATCAAAACCTTTAATGTTGTCATACCTTTCCAACAAACGAACAAGCGGGGATACGGAGGGAGCGGGGGGTCTGGGAAAATTCCCTTGGCACCACTTCCCATCTCAAAGCTTCGTCAAGGTGCATCAGACGGGGGGAAATCCTCCCGACGCCTTCGCGGCCAAGGTGGTGGCCACTGCAAAGAAGCGAGTCTGTGGGCCCTTCTCTTCCCGGATGCTGGCCTGAAAAAAAACGAATGGACCAAATCGTGGGAAAGCGCAAGCGGGATCAACCGCGTGGAGCAAGACTCCTGGCTTTTCTTCTACTGTACTTCGGTTAAGCACCATTAGGTTGGGTCGTCCCCCTGCTTCTGTGCAAACTCATGGTCATATGGATATGTCTCATGCCGCCTGGAGGGCTTCCTTTTTGGGGTCTTGCCGAAGGAACCCAAGCTGCCAAGGGACCATCAATTACCTCCTCTCTGGGAATACATCACTCGCGACCTCCAGAGTGTCGTACTCTGTCTTCAGCATCTGCCCTAGCCGCTCCTGACTCGCGAGCAGAAAAATTGCGCCAGAAAAGGGCCTTGTGCCGAGCATAGGCCCTTTGGGTATGCTTTCCGTTGCGCATCCCAAGGCTCCATCCAGGTATCTTGTGGGCAGTTCTTCCTGCAAATATCCTGAAGTGGTACAGTTAAAGTAAGGATCCCCCAGCCAAGAAAAGTATATGGATGTGACGTTGTTTGAGGGTTTCCTTTTTGGTCGGTTTTATGGAAGGAACACCACAATTTTGTAGTCCCCAAAAGAACAGGCGCACCCATATCCTGCACGACCGCTCCTTGGTGACGTATCGCTTTGCTTTGCCATAAGTCACATCCGAAATCTGCATGTCATAGGCTGAGAGGGATCGTGCAACCTCAGTCGCTGAAGCTGCGCGTCCAAACTTAGGGACCAATTCCTGTTGCCTGGATCGCCAGTTGCTGCCTTTTCCCAGCTACTGTGTGTCTGGGAAAAAAATAAAAGAAGAAAAACGTTGGATCGCAACGATCCGCGATCAACCAGTGGTTTTTTTCTTTTAAGTGTCTAAAAAAATATTGCAGTTCAACTGGTGGTTTTCCCCCCCTTTTGGCTTGCCAAAGTGAAACCTAGGCACCGTTCCAGCTGCTGCCCCCGCAGTCAGGAAGGTTCTGGACACCTCCTGGCCGGCGCCGATTTCCGCGAAGCTGCCATAGATGGAGGAGTCCAGGTTCACTTGAAGAGCCTCAGGTTGCGCGGCTTCACAGCGTTTACCTTCCTTGGGACCTACCAACTCAAGCTCGTCAGCATTTCTAGTGGGAAAAAATCATGCACGCTCTCTACAATCCTGGGCGGCTGCCTTGTCAAAAGAACTGGAC